TATGATACGTGATCTTAGGAACTGGATTTGAGGGACGACCTGAAAGTAGATGATTTGGGAAAGGCCATTAGGAGGAAGACTGCAGGAAACTTCATTGTGATCTTTTGGCTGCAAAGAAATCGAGTGATGAGGAATCAGTTCAGTTCAGTTAGATTTGCAAAGTCATGTTTCGCCCGGGCCTTTTCTCTGGAGTGGCCCGGCCTGTGTTAACTATTTCTAGTTGACTCAGATGAAAGTGATGAGGAATAAGGATAAGGATAAGTCCGATATGCGAAGCTGAGCCTCGCCCGGGCTATGGGGGAGCCCGGCCTGTGCCGCCAAATGTCGACTCGATCAACGGGGCGCGAACCGCCGACACGTTACCACTGTACTAGCCTGGAGGCTATGATGAGGATAAGTCCGGTATGCGAAACTGAGCCTCGCCCGGGCTATGGGGAAGCCCGGCCTGTGCCGACTAATGTCGACTCGATCAACGTGTGTCAGCGAGTGCTGACGCGACAGAGCTTAGTCCTTACCCACCGTGGTGCCCAGCCACAGCAGTAGCCTCCGGGCGACAATTGCAACTTCTCGCGCCTGGGCGGGGCCCTGGAGGCTTTTATCACTCGGACCGCCGACCCCTCGGATGAGCGGACGGCACGTTACCACTGCACTAGCCTGGAGGCTTTATGATGAGGAAAGTGACTGGAGTGTTTTATACAAGGGACATGGTGTAGAGGACTGGGATTTAAGGGACGAGGCATGGAAACTACAGTTCAGGGAATTTTGGGAATGTGATATCGCACATTTGGTTTAACAATAATTTATTTTGTTTGTCTTGACTGAGAATTTTATTGAATGCCTTTTCGATCGTTACAAATTCCAGTAACATGGTTTATCAAAGGCTGAATTTGTGCAATGTTTTTGTCAAATAAATAACCAAGTAAATAACCTTTTTTTCCTATAAAAGATTTTTTCTTTCTGATGCTGAAACAATAATTACCATTGGATAAATCAACGTACAGTGTATAAATGGTTGTGTATTCTATATGTATTACATACCTACATATATATGTATCGCATTTATATGTACATATGTATTACATAGTTGTATATGTCATATATGTATACGTATTCATGTATCATATATATAGAATATATGAAATATATATTGCCATTTCTCTTTAAATATACACATACAGATATATATATTTACACACACACAGATACATATGTCTGTGTGTGTGTAAAAATATATTTTTTGTATGTGTATATATATATATATATATATATATATATATATTATATACACACACAAAACACACACACATGTTTATATCATATGCATACACACGCAATATATATACAACAGGATTCATAACATATATATGCCCTGACGAAGCAATAGCGAAAAGGCCTTCGGCATATTCGTGTTTTCTTGTTCTTTCTTCCGTTGTTCCTGTTGCAATTTGTTCGTCATGAATTCCACACACACAATATATGCTTGTGTGTGTGCGCGCGCACGTTTGTTTTATTACACATGCATGCGTATTTATATAAACGTATAATATACACATGTATACATTTGATATATATGCGTGTGCATCCATGTTAACACAATATATATGTAAACATATTGTGTGTAGATACTTTGGCCTAAAAAGGTGATTTTGAACCATTTTTCGTTTGCCATTTCTAGGGAATTTAATTGAAATATTTTCATTTGTTACAAATTCCAAGAACATGGTTTGCCAGAGAGTAACTGTGCAATATTAATGTCAAAATATTATTCAAGGAAATGTAACAAACATCAGTCTTTCTGGTTACTCTGGATACAAAACTAATTAATACAGTTTAAATCGGCATCCAGTGTATGACTGGAAGATGTGTATATCATATATACTATATATCATATATACATATGGTACAAACATTATGACGCATATAAATTTTATATATATATATATATATATATATATATATATATATATATATATATATCATATATAATATTTATATCATACATAAGGTATATTATGTAAGATATATAGATTCGTATATGTTCTCTTTAATGAATTTCATTACTATAAATTCATTATGAACAATGTGGCACAATCGTTCGCTTACTCGCTCATTTATTTGTTTATTTGCTTGTTCATGCACTTTTTTACTTACTCGTTCATGTGTTTGGAAATTGTCGCTGGGCAACCCCATGTGTTCATCCATTGTTATTGCATAAAACATCGAAGGTTTTTGTTTTCTGCAAGTGTAAAAAAAAAAAAAAAAAAAAAAAAAAAAAAAAAAAAAAAAAAAAAAAAAAAGGGAAAGACATATGCACTAATTACAGGCACACATATTATATACATACCATTACATATTTCATACATCATATATATCATATATTATATACATCATGCAGATTATATGTATATATTTGAATATTACCTTGTTCATGAATTTAATTACTACAAATGGTTTATGAAACAATACTCGCTTCTTTATTTGTTGACTCGATCGTGTATTTGTTTGTTTGGCCGTTCATGTATTTGTATGTTTGGTCGTTCATGTATTTATTTGTTCGTCCGTTCATGGGTTTGTTTATTTCACCGTTCATGTATTTATGTATTTTCTGAGCTGAATTGTCGTTAGGTCACCTTAATTCTTATTGCATAAAATATCGAAGGATTTAGCTTTTCTCCTAGAGTAAAGAAAAAACAGGAATACGCATGCACTTTATTATCAATGCTAGTAGTGATGCTGCTGAAACTGGTGTGCAGGTACAAGTGTGCGTCCATGATCAGCAGGAACAAATATCGGCTGATCTCCCAGCGCGAGGCTGACGTCCAGTCCCTTGAGCAGAGGCACAGGAAGCGGGATCGGCAGAACGAAGCCCAAAGTCCCAGACACGAGGAGGGCCATTAGGAGGAAGACTGCAAGAAACTTCATTGTGATCTTTTGGCTGCAAAGAAATAGAGTGATGAGGAAAGTGTCTGGGGTGTTTTATACAAGGGACATGGTGTAGGGGACTGGGATTTAAGGGCGCGCGTGGAAACTACAGTTCAGGGAAGAGCTTTGGGAAGGTGATATGATCGCACATTTGGTTTAACAATAATTGATTTTGTTTGTCTTGACTGAGAATTTTACTGAATGCTTTTTCAATCATTACAAATTCCAGTAACATGGTCTATCAGAGGCTGAATTTGTGCAATGTTTATGTTAAATAAAAGCAAGTAAATAACCTATTTTTCATATAAAAGATGTTTTTTTTTCTGTCTGATGCTGAAACAATGATTATCATTGGATAAATCAACGTACAGTGTATAAATGGAGGTGTATTTTGTATGTATTAAATACCTACATATATATGTGTATCGCATTTATATGTACATATATGTCACATAATTGTATATGTCACATATGTATACGTATTTATGTATCATCTATATAGAATATATGAAATATATATTGCCATTTATCTTGACATTTTTTCAGGATGTTGATGACCCGGCATGCCTTGAGATCACTTTCTATACATACAAAAAATGTATATATTTACACACAAACACACACAGACATATATATATATATGTAATATATTGTTGTATGTATATATATGTTATATACATACACACATACAATATATATATATATATATATATATATATATATATATATATATATATATATATATATGCAACAGGATTCGTAACATATATATACTCTGACGGAGCAATAGCGAAAAGGCCTTCGGCATATTCGTGTTTTTTTTTTTTTTTTTTTTTTTTTTAACTTCCCTTAGTTGTATCTGTTGCAATTTGTTCGTCATGAATTCCACACATACACACATATGTTTTTGTGTGTGTGTGCGCTCGTTTGTGTTATTACACATGCATACGTATTTATATAAACGCATAATATACAGACACACATATATATTAAATATTTATTTTTCAATGCTAGTAGTGGTGCTGCTGAAACTGATGTGCAGGTTCAAGTGTGCGTCCATGATCAGCAGGAACAAATATCGGCTGATCTCCCAGCGCGAGGCTGACGTCCAGTCCCTTGAGCAGAGGCACAGGAAGCGGGATCGGCAGAACGAAGCCCAAAGTCCCAGACACGAGGAGGGCCATTAGGAGGAAGACTGCAGAAAACTTCATTGTGATCTTTTGGCTGCAAAGAAATAGAGTGATGAGGAAAGTGTCTGGGGTGTTTTATACAAGGGACATGGTGTAGGGGACTGGGATTTAAGGGACGAGGCGTGGAAACTACAGTTCAGGGAAGAGCTTTGGGAAGGTGATATGATCGCACATTTGGTTTAACAATAATTGATTTTGTTTGCCTTGACTGAGAATTTTACTGAATATATATATATATATAATATATATATATATATATATATATATATATATATATATATATATACACTTAATAATCATAACAGGAAGGGTACTTTAGTTTGATGAACAATAAGACAAAAGCATGGATCATCCACTATTTACTATTGTTGCTAATATATGGTTACTCAATCCTTATATATACGATACATTTTGAAGATCAAACTCAAATTACACCAAACCAAATGCTTAGTGAACTAAACCTTATCCGTATATCTTTAGACACTTAGTAACGATACAGACATTTCCAAAGTAAAAAGCATACTCGTCGGGTTTGGGCCTTTTAGTGTATCCTGTCTTGGCAAGAACTACTTTAAGTTTGATATAGTTTTTGGTGTTAATTCGGGTTTCCGATTTCCTTTAGGTGTTAGATTTTATACATTATTATTATTATTATTTGTTTTATTGATTTTTTGAGTAGTCTTACCAAATAATCTAACATCCATGACAGAATTTATGTATGTATACGCACACACACACACATATATGTGTGTATATATATATATATATATATATTATATATATATTATATATATATATATATATATGTATATATATATATATATATATATATATATATATATATATATATATATATATATATATATATATATCGTTTGGTATCGATCAACGTAGTCATGAGTCAAAGGTGAACGGATCCCCACGTCATTCATAACGGGGGTTGAAAATGCTCTCATATGGGTGTTCGGGAACGTAATCAATAGGTTATTACCAGTGGTTTTAGCATGTCTTAGTACAGGACCTCACGTTCTATTCATATTCAGACTACGCTCATTAGGATATTCACTGTGCTTCTGACAGGGGAATTATACGTTAAAATTCATGGTTGGTTCGTTTGAAGCGCATTTATTTCGCTCCTTCGCATTGTTTGCGAGTTGCCTTTCACTACGATTTCTGAGAACTTACCTCTGTCTGGCTTATGAAGTGTGATGATAATGAGTCACACTTGTGGTTTCTGTTTAATTGATATGCCAAGATAGTTAGAAATTGTGATAACTGTAATTCAGAGATTCCATAAGGATATAAACGATGTAATAAGACACAATCTCTCCTGGGAAAACGGGTTTCTCTTACGTCAAAGCCCTTGACCGCCATTGATCTTGCTTCACAGGATGGAACTGTTGGTTGTTCCCGTACTGTTTACGATTAACAGCTGTTGGTGGATCTCATGCAGAATGCGTACACATTCTGTACTTGTTCTCGCAAACGTAGATCCATTACAAAATATTACTCTCAAATCTCTTAATTCATCATATGTGTTGGTTTTTGTTGTATGTCTCATTACGTTTTATTGAGTTTAAAATCGTACTCGGCACGGTAGCAGGCCTCAGCTAGATGAACCTGTGCCTTTCATGCACTCTTAGAAGTTATTGCAAGATGTGTAAATGTGTTGTCGACGTATCTTTTTAGTAATAAGTTAGTGAAATTGGACTCAATTATTTAAGTTAGCATGAGCAAGTGAAACAAATCTTTATATTATTTCACTTCCCTTTCTTTTACATTACTATCTCTTAGAAATGCAAATATATAATGCTGGAAATATTAACAATGCTTTGGGGAAAACCTACATGAGACGCATGGAGAGAGAAAAAAAAAAACATTTATTGGTTTTACTTCCTTTTTACCTTCCCGCATGCAATCCTCTGAGCTGCGTTGTAAGAACTATTATTAGAACTATTTCCACTTTATAAGAACTATTATTAGAACTATTTCCACTTTATAAGAACTATTATTAGAACTATTTCCACTTTATAAGAACTATTATTAGAACTATTTCCACTTTATAAGAACTATTTTTAGAACTATTTCCACTTTATAAGAACTATTATTAGAACTATTTCCACTTTACAAGAACTATTGTAAGAACTATTTCCACTTCTAATTTACGGTTCTCTGAAAACGCCCACAAAGAGGATGTTATCTGCTATCTTATCGCGGATGAAGAACAGGAAGGGCCGATTACAGACGAAAGATCGAGTGGGCGCCCTGACCACAAGCGCCGTTCCTGCCGAGGCTTCAGCGCCTTCTTCGTCCACCTCCATCACCGCCTTGTGGACGCCGTTGGTGATCGCCAGACCCCCGGCAGGAGAGAAGGCTGACAGGTCGGCCGCTGGGGAGAAGAGGTCGCGGAGGCCGAGGCGAGTCAGAGCCTGTGGAAGGGAAGGAGACGCTGAGGGAGGATTCTGGCGGCTGGAGTGGAGTGACTGCTCGCCCGTCTCGTTTTCAAGTTTTAGTGTGTGTGAGAGAGAGAGGGAGAGAGAGAGTGGGTGTGTGCGCGTGTTCGTTTATAACATTAGGGCCTTTACCTCACCTCTATGAGTTCTTTTCGAAGACTACTCTCAAGCTTGAACTTGGGGAACTTCAGCAAAACTTTATTAGGAGCCAAGTTCCCGACGGCGGAGGCGAGGGTGGCGGGCGTGAGGCGCTGGAGCATCCGGTCGAGCTCGCCTCCGGTCCCTCTGTCCCGCGGGAGGAGCACGACCAGCGACGCGGCGCCCCCACGGTACGGCAGCTCCACCACGTCGGCGTCCAGCTCCTCCGACGCGCCTGGAGGTGGAGGAAGAGGATGTCGTAATAAGAGTTGCAGTGCAAGAAGTCGTGATGGCTAGTCTGGATTGGAAAGCGATATTGCGTTTCGTTAAAAATCGTTAGGTATAAATGTTACTTCTTTTAAGAAATAAATCAGGACAAACTACCCCATTTCCAAACATGTCAAAGGACATATGTGAAGTAACAACTGAAATTCTAAAAAAGGGAGAATTAGCTCGAAAACCATCTCTCTAATATGTGTTAAAAAGGAAATCTGAAAATAATTCCCCAAAATTGATTTATTTCGATTTTCCGAAGTCAAGTTATATTTTCCTGCGAAAATCCGGAACCCGGATGTGTGACGTCAATTCCAGATCGCGATCACAGCATTCTCTGCATTCAATACATTGTACATGGCGGAGTCACAACAAGACTACAGCGACACTGAAATCAGTGAAGTTTCATCGGATTATTCCGACGAGAAACATTGGTACTTCTTCAGAGGGTGCCTATGTCTTCGAAGAGTTGGAAGAAGAGGAATATCAAGGGTTGATGGTTGTTGGACCGTACATGCACGAGCCCGATGCTGTGGATGTCGTTGAAGTTGTGCCAAACCAGCCAGACATGGAGTGGCGTCGAGACCCGAAGAGATTGAATGAATGGTAATTTTCTAAATTATTTTTTATAGTCGAACATGTGATCCCACTTCTGTACGGTACAAAATTTCCGCAGGCTGAGCTATCCCTTGTCTGCACCCGTGGCGCAGGCCTACATCCATTCGCGAGTGGAGGGGCATCGGTATTTATTTGTGTTGTGCTTTTTGGGGTGTACCTACCCTACCTCTGTGTAGTAAAAAATGCACACTTACAATGTACTCGGTACACTGTGTCGTACCCACGCAATGAATGTTTGCTACGCCACCAAGCAAAAGTGCTCTTTCAGAGTTTGTTTTGCTCTGTTGTGATCATGACAAATATAAATTGGAAATGGCCTGCCGTTTTGCAAATCCCATGTTGTAAGCCATTCTGTTCCTGTCGGAGGACGATGCCAAAGAAAAAACAATGCACGATAATTACTTCACATATGCCCTTTAACGTCTCCTATACATGTAAAAAGAAACAAAAATCATGAGTTATACAACAATTAAAAATTTAAAGTCAAAGCCAATAGAATAAGGAAATGCATGAGCCCATAAAACAATATCACTCTCATCAGTCATCTTAAGACTTTAAATCCGACGAATGAGAAAGAACAGGCAGATTTTCCTTCTCTTAATGAATACATGACAAAAAATCAACAACAAAAATCCATTACCAAAATCATACATCCCCGTCCGGGCCATCATGTCGACGAGTGAATGGCGTCCTGGAGTCACAACAAACCTCTCCCGTGCGGTATTTCTCGGCGAAAACTGGTGCTCCCAAAAGCCCTTGAAATGGACAGCATTGACGAACACCATGCGAGCCTGAGACACGTCCAGCGGTTCCACCAGGTGCGGGATGTTGCCTCTAGTTCTGGTGTTGACGAACTGGTTGATTTCTGCAGCAGCGAGATCTGCCTGTGTATTGAACGGGGTGTACTTAACTTTCATGTGTGTAAGTCTTTAGAAGTGTTATGCTTTTTTTTTTTTAATGGTGGTAACTGGCAACTATCTAGAATTCTGAGAAATAAGGACAGAGATTGGTAAATAGATACTTTTGGGAGTAAATATATAGATAATAGCAAAAGCAAATGGACAAATACTATTGTGACTAAAAAGTGATCGAAAGAGAGAGAAAAAGCACCCATGTTTGTTTTTCTTTTTGGTAGTGTGCGAACGGTTTCGAATCATGATAAGAAAATTCAGAATGGCAGATGAATACATCCGATAGTAAATTTCATAAATAATAACGAAAGCAAATACCCAAATACTGTAGTACCTAAAAAGTGAGAGAGATATTGCCAAACGAATGCATTCGTGAGTAAATGACATAAATAATAACAATAGTACATACCATAATAGTGGAACAACTAAAACGTGAGAGACAAAGGGAACAAACTCACCTGGGTGAAATCTACATTCTTCACTTCTTCAGGGAGAACTTGCGCCACGCACTCATATAGGGGCAAAGTATTATCAACGTAGATTCTGTTGGCCGAGTCTATAGTGTAATTCTGTGATGATTCATGACTGAAGGAAAAACGAATATGAATCACAAGAGAGGAAAGTCTCAGATTTTTTTTTTTCGATTATTAAGTTTCATTTAAGATCGGATGAGGGTTCGCGGTCATTTGAAATTAGGCTGATATTCTTATCTGCCGCGGGGATGGCGGGAAATGCCACGTATATGAATAGTCAATATGTTGAAATGAAAAATATGTGAATGACGTTACACAACTCGGGTGAGGTAATAAGGAAGGCTTTAGTTCTGCAAATCTCTCTTTGTTAAACCTTCAAACAATTCTACGGTGCATTTCATTTACTCGATACTCACATCTGCCTCAGAGCTTTGTAGAGGGCGAGGGTCTCCTCCTTGGCGGGGAGTCGGAGGACGCGCTCCATCTGGGCCTTCGTGTCGCCTCGGGAGCCGAAGTAGGCGAGGACGAGGGCGCTCCAGACGCTGAAGGGCGAGAAGAGAAAGTTCCCCGACGGAGGGAGAACCTTCCCGAAGAGGTCGAGGCTGAAGGGCGCGACCTGGCTGAGACTCGGGTGAGGCGGAGGGGCCAGGGCATCGTCCTCCGACAGGCACTGGGAGCTGACCCGAGTCAAAAGGATCGGAAGGAGGAGCAGCTGCGTGGTCTTCATGGTCCTGGTTGAGAGGCATTTGAAATTGGATGATAATGATATAAAATATGATGCTATGGCTTAACACAACAGTAATCAGTGATATGAAAGAGTGTTACTTGAAACACATTAAATAGATAAACATATATATATATATATATATATATATATATATATATATATATATATATATATATATATATTATACACATATATACATATGTATATCATATATATGTATACACACACACACACACACACACACACACACACATATATATATAATATATATATATATATATATATATATATAATA